AGCATGGTGTTACATTCTCAACAGGTATTTCTCAGATATTACCCTGTACCAATTGTGATTGAACAGAGGGGAACAGGAGGAATCTTGGTGATGAGACTAAGTCTAGCCGAAATCAGGGCTTGTTAGACCACAGCATTAGATTATATTTACAAAGAAAACTTGTCAGGAATGTGAAATGGGTAATGTGGTCCTGAATGCAGAAGCGTTACCTCATTGTGGAAATGTTTCTTTTAAATCTATTGATCCAATGTTTGGCAAAGTTGGTGCAAAGTGGCCTCCAGTGAGATAACTAAATACTCCAAGGCGGCTTGTATAAATGGTTACTTGTTTTTGGGTTTTTCCGAACAACTTCAAAAACTTTACCCTGTAGCCGTTCTTCACGCTTACTCTGACCTGCTCTGTGGGACTCTGATGGTTTTTTGTCATAGATTTGTGTACAGCTAGTAGAGGATGGAATCCAATTCAATTATTTTCTGCCAAAACAGTTCTGTGTTCCATAAGTACTCCAGAGGAAAAAAAAAGCATTTGGTGAGAGCATACCTTAAAGGGAAGGGGTTGCGCCAAATGAAATGGCCTTTTTTTCTAACCCCCCACATGACCTCACACGAGAAATGTTTTTGCGAGGAGTTGATCAGTTATTATATCTGATTTACATAGATTCGCGGAGAGGAGAAGGAAGAAAGAGGGGAAGAAGAGGTCACAGTCATTAAGAGATCGGAAAAATCGCGACTGCCAGATCGGAAACTATCATGTGACGATGCGAGGTGTATACCATCATATGTAATTTGAAGACGACATAACAATCTACAGGTACAGATAGAGCGGGGCGAAAGGCTAAGAACAATAGGGAAATAGGAGAGACAAAGACAAGGAGGGTGAAATAAGGAATGAGAAAGGGGGAGCGGGAAGTAAGAGAGAAAGGAGAGGGAACAGGAGAAAAGGAGGAATCAAGGGAAGCAACCCCAGGATGTCTAGGGCACAGAAACAGCAGTCTCAAGCACCGGTATGTGGAGCAAGGCAATTGTATGGCGAGTAGGCCGCGAGTCTCCATTCAAATGTATTTATTTTAAAGAGACACGATCCCTGGAGCGCATGGCCTGCAGTCCGCGGAAAGGGGATTCCCCCTGCAGCTTGAAATGCTGATGGCAGAAACAGAGGGGGGAGGGGGGCATCTTACAAATATATTTAAATTGCAACAAAATGATCCTCCAGAAGTGGGCGGGGTTTACCTTGGCTCAGTCACGCTGACAACACCTAAACTCTGCATACAGTTATACTATAAAGTAGAGTCTTTGCTGGAAAATGGTAACAGATTTGGTGATAAAGGATAATGACTTTCAGAGCAGGAAAGTTGAACGGAGAGAGTGAAAAATATTAGATATGTATGTTGTCTGTCACCAGGAAGAGAGTGGAAAGATCTTAAAAAGGAAAAATATAATAGCGAGACAAACTCAATTCTGAGAGGACGCAGCAGAAATGCTACGTGTTAAGCTGCACTAAAAGGAGATTTTCAGTGTTAAGAGAAAGGCTAAGTAGATAAGACTTGAGCAGATAAGGCTGAGATTAGGGACAGTCAGAGGACCTAACCATGCCTCTCCTCTCTCCTCCTGATCTCCTCCTCCTCCTCCTGCCAACAGCGTCACCTGATGGCCCTGGGTGCCTTGGAAGCAAACGCATCTCCCTCCATCCCTCCTCTCATTGGTTCCACTTCCTCCCTGCACCGCAAATCCTCCCACGGGGATCCGTCGCCCCCGCAGGGTCCCTGTAACCCGGCCTCTTTCAGAGCAGGAGCCCCCGCAGAGGGAGGCCCCGGACCAGCACACCGCTGGCGGCTGTTTTTAGATCCTCTCTGCTCTGCTTCCTGCAGATCTACTCTGAGGAGTACGCTCTACCTGGCAACAGGGTATTTTAATAGGCTCACACCTCATCTGCAATGACACTTATTTCCTTTTTTTATTGATGTGATTTACAGGACAAGTGAAGACATTAGTCAGTGGTCACTAATAATACAGTGAGAGAGATGAGAATTTACAAATGTCAAACCTATGAAAAAATAACCAAGCGGCAGGCATAA